AATTGCTGTTGCTGCTGGTTTCGAGACGTGAAGAACTAGCAGACAAAGCATGGATTAATTCCAAATAGATTTGTAACAAGTTCGCATTCGCTGCTGAGAAAAAATAATCAAGCACTTAACCAGACAGCAGGCAGTACATCCTCCCTTGTTTTTAACTCAGCATCCTGGATTATAAAAACTTCTGTGCTGCCACGGAAGAGGAACCGGGCCCTCACTCATTTCCTACTACGTGAAGTGGTGCATCACCTCTGTCTGGGGCAGGTTCAACTATAGTTCACCACTGGTTAGTAGCTGAGGGTGCTTTTAGTGCTTTTCAACTCCCAAAGCTCAGCAAAGGAAATTCTCACGCCAGCATTTAAAAAGGCAGAAGGAGAGGGAACACAGATTCAGATGTTAGGTAGGCTAGCTGCAAGAGGCAAGGAAGAATTTTGTCTTCAGAGAATATTGATCTTCAGAGATTTCACTCAAGGATGCAGAGTTAAAGTTGGCCTATAAAATACTACTGCAATCACAGACTTTATAGAATTAAAATTTCAGTTATTATTGAAGATTTTATTACCTAAAAGAAATCTAAACAAAAAAATCTTCATTTACTGAGGTAATACTTTAAGCTTGCCAAGGTAAAATTTATGAAAATGTATACTTTGAGTGCATTCAAAGAAATTAATCTGTTTGAATAACAGTCTTGTACGCACAGACCTATACCCAGTAAAGTCAAAATGAGATACCTGGGAGGAGGAAAAAGCACAAGAGGAGAGCTGTTTGGTAGAATTTTATCATTTATCAGGCATAGTATCTATCCTCTGAAAACTCAGCATTAATACCCATTAATTAGTACCATTTTAAAGGTATATTCAGTGTTTATATGAGATAATGAACATGCCTGAACTCTGCTGAAAAACTCAGTTTAACACAACTACTAGTACAGATGATACAAGAATACTCTAACGAGAGCTAGGTGTAAGCACAAATGAAATTATATATGAAAAACTGTCTTCAGACTGAAAAGCAATTTGTCTTTAGGCAGTAATTAGAAGCAGTTTGAAATCAAAAAAACCCATGAGCTTTAGAAAACAGTCATAATGCAGCAAAGAGTGAACAGCCATAATAATTCTGCTTTTTTTTAATCTATTGAACATTGGCTAGTTTGGGAGAACAAAATAACATTTTTCTATAGCTCTGTCCTTGGTCTTTTACAATATTAAAATACATGGACTTCTCAATTTGTCAAAAAAAGAAAAAAAAGGCATAAGAAGTTGTTTCAGGTTTTACTGATTTACCACCCTACGAAATCTAGCTGAAATCAGCACTGTTACATAGCTTTGAGAAATTGGCTTTGAAATTTATTTGTAAAAGTTATCTGCAGTGCAGTCTCAAGATGCCAGAGAAGTTATTTACAGGGGGGCAATTAATATGTGTTTTTGAAGCACAAACTACCATATTGAAGTCATATTGTAATATATTCTCTATCTATACTATAAAACAACAAGAGAAATTCTTGGCCCCTTGAAGTCAGTATGAAAAACTAAACCAGTTTCAGAGTTGCCAGGCATTTACCCTCTGAGCTTTTCCACACGACTTTCTGTGAAGAAGCCTTCGGGCATGGATACGAGTCCTTAACCTGAACTCAGGTTTCCTAAATTCCAGGTCAGTGATCTCATCCCCAGGATGGCCTGGGTCATGGTCAGCTTCACTTGTACGTATTCGGACTGAGAACGCCTCAGCAGAACAAAACTCATTTTAACGCATGTCCATGGTAGTAATGAACCATCAACTCATCCTTAAAAAAAGTTAGCAAAAACCTTACTTTAATGAAGGCCTTTTTTTTTTTTTTTTTTTTTAAAGATGCATGTTGGATTACGATCTGTCTTATTTCCTAGGTAGCTGGTCGATAAAGGGAAGGCAGCACTGACAAAAAAATCTTGCCAGTAAATTCGAGTTTGTCAAGGCCTGCTCATTTTCTGAAACAATCAGTTCCCTGTAACATACGTGACTGATGACTCATTCTTATCCTCTTCCTCCACATTAAGTACCTTATCATTTAGTCTCTATTACATGTTTGCTGTTCTCTAGAAGTTTAAAATTTATTTATGGTTAGGTAATTGTCATGTTTGAACAATATGGGAAATGACATGTTCTGAATCAGGCAGACCTTCAAATGCAAATTATATAATTGCTCTGAACTCTAACATTTATGCAACTTAAATTGTCCTGAATGGCAAAATCAGACGTGACTCAGAGCCATAAGCTATAACAGTCAGAAAACAAAAATACATTACTGAAAGCAGCCATTCATCTAATTTGCTACATTTTCTATGTTTTAATGTACCAAAAAAGAACTGTTAAGTCAACAACACATTTTAGTGAAAGACAGCATCTTGAAAGAGAAGATGGAAGTTCTTCTGTTTATATAATTTATCCCTGATTATAACTCACTGAAAATTGTGAGTTGATCCTTAATAATTTGTTCCCCAGTGAGATAGCACATTGATTTGTCAGTGCAGTATATGAACACTGGGCTGCAGGCACTAATTAATTAATATCAAATACTGTGGCATAAATGTCAAGAAAAGATAAAGGAGAAGAGTATGTAACGGTAAAATACAGTTAGGGTCTATCATGCCCAAAACATAATAATCTGCAAGGGCTGGAAGAGTGCTTTATTTATAAAGCTCTGTTTCAGTTTTAAAGGCACATACTAAAAAACAAAAATCATAAATCTAACTGGCCTCTTGTAAGCACATGGTAAGATATGCTTTTCCAGAGTTCAGTATTACAGGTTTTGGGTTTTTTTTGTTTTGTTTTGTTTTGCTTTGGAAAAGGCTCCTACAGAACTGCATGGCAGTTGCAAGGGAGCTCTTCAGCATTTATGCTTAAGTCTGAGGTCTCATAAATATCAAAGTCCACTTCACTCACCCTCTAACTTGCATATTGGCTGTGAAAGCACCCAATGCAGAGAAATAGAGACTGCATAACGAAAAAGAAGAGTTAAAATAATGTTAAAGTATGATTTTGTTTTCATTTTTGTGGACTAACTTGTGGTTTTGTTTTTTTTTTTTTTTTTAAGAAGAAAGGTTTCTATTGCATTTAAGATACTAGTACAAGGGTTAAGAATTAGAGATCCTGCTTGCATATGCATGCCTCTACACATACTATATAACATACGCTTTAGTCTGAATACAGGTCTGCTTCCTTTACTCTCACATATGTATGTAGGCAACTTCATGCCCCATATAGTCCAGCCACCAGTTAAACTCCTCTTACACAAATGCAGTAGAATTCCAAGAAACTTTCTATTCAATAGAAATATCCTACGTAGGCATATATTTTGTATATCAATGGAAAGCTTATCATTATCATAAGCTTATCCGCTTGTTCTGTGAACAGCACAAATACTGACATCTGATTTCTTTTATATCCCTGTTTTTACCTCCCAACCCCCTTCTCTCTTTCTACCCTAGTATTAACTTCAGTTTCCCTTTATGACACTGATTGAGCAAGAGACAAAAAGTACTGAGTAGGCATACAAAAAAATGTAATAGTTATAATTTTCATCCCCAAAATAAATGGCATTTTAGAAAT